GTAGAAACCGAGCAAGGGGTTCTTAACGGCTGTATTATTTTTCTCCTTCTCTCTCTCTCTTCTCTCTTCTCTATTTTCTCTCTCTCTCTCTCTGTCTCTCTGTCTCTCTCTCTCTCCCTCCCTCCCTCCCTCCCTTCTTTCCTAGCTTTCCTATAGGTCAGTTAAAAAGTAAAAAAGTAAAAAGACACTATGAAGGGAAGTGGATAAATGACAGGGCAGTTCACAGAAGAAGAAATGCCATTGAGAAAAACCCAAAAGATTTCAACCTCCTTATTAATGAAATAGATGCAAATTAAAAGATTACTGAGGTAGCATTTTTTGTCTTATCAATTTGACAAAAGATTAAAAAGACAATAATCAATTCCTTAACTAGTGCATCCATGCAATAGAATGTTAAGCAATCATTAAAAAGGACATGGGAAAATCCAATGTTAAATTTTAAAAAGTTAGAAAAAGGATTCATGAAATTGTCATTAAAGTATACGTATGTGAGAGAGAAAAAGACTGGAAGGAAATTTTTCAAAAATTTTTACAGTAGCTATCTCTGTATGCTGAAATTATAGATAATTTTAATTTTCTTCCTTAAACTCTTCTCTGTCCTGCAAATTTTCTACAATGAGCATGTATTACTTTTAACATTGGGAAAAATACTTCCTTTAAAGTAATTTAAAAATTGACTTAAAAAACAAATCCTAATAACACCCCTTTTGGCAACTGTAAGTATTGACTAAATGAGCTCACAATAAGTATTCTAAATTGTGGGAGGATATATGAATTGTAACTTCTAGTAATTTTTTAAGTTGTCATTGTGTGTCCTCGTGGAATTTACCCTGAGGACTGATCGTGTTTCATGTTTCAAAAGACAATATTTGCTTTTTCTTTGTCTTTGATTTAAAAAAGCAAGGAAAAGGATTTTATTAAAGTCCATCAGATAAATGTAATCCAATTACGAAACTAAATTTGCCCTCGACCCTACATTACTTCAAAAAGAGGAGTCTTTACATCTCTGTGAATTACACACAGCAGATCCATGGGAGCTGCTCTGACTTGGCCTCTGAACTGTCAGGTCAGCAACACTGGGATGAAGAGTTCTGGAGGGGAGCGGCCAGCGAGGGCTGGGTCTTCAAAAGAAGCCCATAACCCCTGAGACAGAAGGGGCCGCCCCAGGGCAACATCAGGGTCTGCACAAGTCTCCCCTGACCCTCCCAGAACCTCAGGTCGGGGAAACAACGCACATTTACCACCAGCCTCACGGCTCCCTCTTCTTTCATCAAAAGACAATTTCCAAGAGTGTTCTGCAGCAATTGCATTAATCTATTTTTCTAAAATTAGGATTTTTAAAAATTTAAAATGTTTATTTGGGATCATCCCAAATTGATTGCTTGTCTTTCTTATAATATATATTTCTTTCTTTCTTTTTTGTGAGGAAGATTAGCCCTGAGCTAACATCTGTGCCCATCTTCCTCTACTTTATATGGGACACCGCCACAGCATGGCTTGACAAGCAGTGCATCAGTGCGCCCGAGATCCAAACCTGCGAACCCCGGGCCTCCGAAGCGCAGCGTGAGAACTTAACCGCTACGCCACCTGGCCAGCTCCCTTACAATGTATTTTTAGCTAGGCTTTTTAGTATAAAAATAATACTAAAAAAAGACTTCTAACAGTACAGAAGAACATAAAAAGTACCACCACTGCGCTGGTCCCCAGAGGCAGCCATGCTAACGTTTCTAGTGTAGCCTTCCAGAAATTTTCCATGCATACACAAACATACTTAATAAGTTAAATGTGTGTATGAATATATATATGTATATATGTATGTGTATATTTTACATATTTTAGCTTATTTGGGGTTATAATTGTACACAGTGCTTTCAACTTGGCTTTGTCACCTAACAATAAATTGGATTTTAAAATGTGTATATAAAAGTAAAGAATCATTTCATTTATAGAAAACGTATTTATGGACACCTGTTCTCTGAAGTGGACACCTAGTCTCTGAAAGGGAGAGAAGTGCCTGATAACAGAAGTTCATGAACCCAGGGCATATCATTCTCATTAATATGAAAATGAAGGTTTTAATTATAAACCAATGTGATTTAATCAGAAGACTCAATTCTTTTGACACAATGCCTTTCTACCTAAATTTTCACGATTGCACAAAATCATCCCAAGTATATTTCCTCCAGATACAATTAAGTAATTGGATCAGAATGAAAAACTGCAATACTGTTTGCTTGCACAATTCACTGCTCATACATGAAATTTCTATACCACTCTTCTCTTCTCAGCAGAAGGCACGGTCCAAATGGGTCTTGCCATTTATCTGGGGCAGGGAGCATATGAATGACCAGATGGTTAGAATACAGTAGAAATAACGATGGCTTGCACATGGAGGTCTGAGCCATCTGCATTTCTTTTATTTTTATTTTATTTTAAAAATTATTTTATTGAGGTCATATTGGCTTGTAATATTGTGTAAATTTCAGGTGTACATTATTATATAACAGTTACTGTATAGACTGCATTGTCTTTACCACCAATAGTCTACTTTTTATCTGTCACCATGCATATGTGCCCCTTTATCCCTCTCGACCTCCCCCCACCCCCGTCCCCTCTGGTAACCACTAATCTGTTATCTTTGTCCATCTGTTTGTTTATCTTTCACATATGAGTGAAATCATAGGGTGTTTGTCTTTCCTTGTCTGGCTTATTTCACTTAACATAATACCCTCTAGGTCCATCCATATTGTCGCAAATGGCAAGATTTTCTTTTTTTTTATGGCTGAGTAGTATTCCATCGTATACATATAACACATCTTCTTTATCCATTCATCCATTGATGGGCACTTGGGTTGCTTCCATGTCTTGACTATTATGAACAATGCTGCGATGAACATAGGGGTACATAACTCTCTTTGAATTGTTGATTTCATGTTCTTTGGATAAATACCCAGTAGTGGGATAGCTGGATCAGGTGGTAGTTCTATTTAATTTTTTGAGAACTCTCCATACTGTTTTCCATAGCGGCTGCACCAGTTTGCATTCCTGTCATCAGTGTATGAGGGTTCCCTGTTCTCCGCATCCTCTCCAACATTTGTTATTGCTTGTCTTGTTAATTATAGCCATTCTGACAGGTGTAAGGTGATATCTCACTGTAGTTTTAATTTGAGGAAACCATGAACAAAACAAGAAGACAACCCACCAATTGGGAGAAAATATTTGCAAATCATATATCTGACGAGGGGTTAATTTCCAAAATATATAAAGAACTCATACAACTCAACAACAGAAAACAAACAACCCAATCAAAAAATGGGCAGAGGATATGAACCAACATTTTTCCAAAGAAGATATATGGATGGGCAACAGGCACATGAAAAGATGTTCAACATCACTAATTATTAGGGACATGCATTTCTTAACAACTCCATGAAGTAGGTATGAGTCTTGTCCTCATATCACAGATGAGGAAACTGACCCAGAGAAGCTAACCAGCTTGCCCAAGGCTACACGGCTAATTCTCGGGAAGCAGGGATCCAGTCTGTGTTCTTAATCATTATGCAAACTGCCTGGAGGAGGAGTGGGGGGTGGGGGGTGCGCTATCAGAGCTCAAGGAGGAGACAGGGAGGAATCGAGGAGGAAGCACTCAGGGAGGGTTTCAAAAAGAATCTCGACTTGAACAAGAAGTTAGTGAGGCAGAGAGGTGGGGGAAGGGAAGAGAAGGTGGACATGTGGGGACACCACCCGAGGCCTTGAGCCCCACCTCTAAGGGTCTCAGCCAAGGAGGGGGGTGAGTGTTGAGACCCCAGCAGAAACCCCAGAGTGGCTGAAGAGCATCTAGGAACACCTGTGCTTGTCTTCCTGTGTGTACAGCATGGTGAGGGGGTTGGATGGCAGCAAGGAGGAGGGGACCTGCTGGGTGAGGGTCTGAGAGAGCCTGCCCATCCCCTGATGCCTGGGCATGGCACCACCTGTGCTCCTGGGGACACCAGTGTCCCGAGAGAACCAGCATCCCAAAGAGGGTGGGCTTCGAAATGAGAGGCCTGGATTGCAAGTGCCCAGGGACGTGGGGCGGGGGGTGGGGCATAGCAGAAACCACAGGTTGCCTACCACAGATATAAACATCTTTGAATGTAATTTTTGAGAGGAGATTTGATTTTCTGTTGCCAGCCAATTAAATTCTCTGGTCCTGATGAGCCAACCAAAGTTGGTGTTTGGGCATTTCTGAACCTAACGTGATATGGCACAGTACCCATTAAAGAAAACAGATGGCCAGGTCTGGCCTCCATGGCTCTGGAACTCATCACAATAATCTGCCCTCTTTCCTTTCCCTCTGGAAATAAAATAGATTTTAAAGCTGCTCTGATTGGGTTACCTACAATGAGTTTGTTCTATTGTATGTACTTCTCTAATAAAGAATACCTTTCAAAAACCATCTTTGGTAAACGAGCTTTAAATCATTTAACATTTCATTTAAGACATTAAAGAAGACGCCTAATACAGGAAGGCCTGGGTCTTGTCCCCAGAACTACTATCCACCCATCATTTCATGGGGGCCTGGGGGCCAGGTGGCAGGTCCTGAAGTCAGCAGCTGCCTCAAAGGATTTTGACAGTTAGGGACCATGATTGAGAAGTAGAGAGGCCGGCCATATGCCAGAAGGGAAGGGCAATACGATCTACCTATGGTTGGATCCTTTGGCTTTTGGACAGACCTGGCCTGTGAAATCCTACCATCATGGGGCTACGTCATCCACTCACGATGTTCAATTCCATGTAGTCATAGAAGGATTATACAGACTGTATTTTAAAAAAAGATACCAGTAATTTCATTAAAAAAAATTTGTTCCTGAATTCTTAGCCTTGACATTTCACTTTTCCAAAATGATGACAAAAACCCTCAAGACTCTATATCAACACGCTTCTGTGCTTAAAAACATACAAGAACCTCAACTGCTACAGAAGAGCCTGTGGGGACATACCACTATGTCACTCATGCTCACCTGCATTCGATGAACCAACGCCGGATCTGGTCTTGAAGGTTCTCCTTGATGTCTGGACCTTCCACTAGTTTCAGGTCGTCCTTGATTGTAACCAGGGCTTCTCTGTAGTCCTCTTCATGCTTGATCTGCACCTCATCCCGCAGGCGGGTCACTTTTTCAGCCTGGATTACTGTAGCACTGACTTCACTAAACAGAGGAGGCGGACTCTGAAAATATAAGCAAAAAGGTTTGAGATCATAAAGGTTACAGAGCTGGTGAAAAATATTAGACACAAATGAAATACATCAATATCTTCAATGGTGTCTAACCAAAGGCTCCAGAACAAAAGAATCAGACCCAGCAGGAAAATCTGAAGAAGTGATTCACCACCATGGGGAGGAAAGATGGGAATTACTCCATATCATTTCCCAGAATCTGGGTGAGGGGGTAGTTAGTGAGAAAAATGTATATTAAATAAACCTTTAAAAAATTCATTCAAACTACAGAAAACAAAGCTTTTGCAAATCTTGGCTAGTGGGAGAGCAAAGAATATAGAGTAAGAACATATCTGAAGCAAGAACGGGTGAAAACAGTTTGAGTGCTCTGATTTCAAGAAAAACTATACCAAAGTCAACTCTGAAAACAAATGTTCTATTGTTAAAGACCCCCAAAGAAGGAAATTCTCAGTTGATTCCAGACATTCACTCTGATATTACCACGTCTTATTGCTAGAATGTTCTCTCTCAAAATCTGCTGATCAGCAAGTCAACAAACATCTGGCCATTGAGCACCAACCATAGATGCTCAGCACTGGTCCAGCATCTACGAAGGGTTGTGGTAAGAGAAAACACAAAATCACTTGGAGACATAATTCCTGGCCTTTGGAATCCCTAAAGAAATGAAGTTGGCAACATAAGAGTAATGTATGTCCTAGTAGGGAACAATGTCAGATAATCTATAAGTGTGCTACATTGTGGGTTTGGTTGGAAAGAACTAGGAGGGATTTAGAGAAGGAAAACACATATGGGGCTTGTGCTGCCTGGAATCATAGGTATGAGAGCTGAAAGACAGTTCTCCTTTACAGATGAAGATCCTGAGCTCGAAGGAGTGCAGAGATTCAGCCCAGGTCACGTGGCAAATGAAGGGCAAATTCAGTGGTGTGCTAGAGCCAACCCATAATGGCGCATGAGATCCAACTGATACGTTTTCAGGAATTTTGCAAGCTGGTTGCTAAAATGCTAAATTAACAGCCATTTTAAAATGTTAAATTATATAAACTTATAATTAAATAAACTGTATTAAGAACGAAAGTTATCAATGCTCAAAACTCATCACTTCCTAACTATTTTTACTAGATTTTACATCATCTAGGCTCTTATGTTATTTATGTCTGTTGTATCTCTGTGTTGAAAATACTGTATAATGGTGTGCCACAGCGCGTATCTCCCCACCTGTGCTCATTCAGGTTAGTAGCTTGAAGTTGGCTGCAGTGGGAATATTTACACTATGCAAATTAGCAAACTCTATAAATCAGGACTTCACGTATTGTTGTGACTTGATTGCCTAGACTTAAGAAACCAATAGAAAAATAATAATGAAGATAAACACAAAAATGTGCCATGTCTGTATCAGCTACACTGTGAATAGCACAAAAATTGAGGAAACAGTCTTCCAGTATCCAAAAAACTGGAATCTGATTCAGCAAAGGAGCGCGCAATTTTAAAAAGCGATGAATGAGTGAAATTCTGATATACACTTTGTTGTTTCACTTTAGTCTTATTCGGGCAAATAAAAATATCTATCAACATTCAAATTTGAACAACATTTGTCAATTACAACCACAGGCTGACAACAGATACAAGAGTTCAGTTAAAATCAAGGAAAGTGCTCTGTGAGAATTGATGCCTATGTGGAATTTGCAACAAAGAGTAGTATGTATACGCAAATTGTGTGCACCTCCTTATATCAATGAAATTATAATGAACGTAGGTATGAATATATACCATACGTTTTTTCCATAAAGCCATGATTAAGCATTACCGGCACACCATTGCGTACATCCAAGACTAGAACACAGTTGTCCTCAAAGGTCCTCCCATCACTCAATGGTCATCTGCATCCTACCCACTGCCCACCTTCTGTGAGCCTTCTTTCCCAAAGAGGCTATATGGTATGGAACAGTCAAAGAGCCCTCAGAATCAAGGGCAAAGCTAACCTCAAAGGACTTTTGTTGCATCAGAAGCATAAAAGGAATTTCCTCTTCTTGGAAAAGGGAACAACATAAGACAAGGCACCGAAGTGGAAAGAGAACGTGGGCTGTGGGTAAGAGAAGAGTGGGAATGGGGTGGAAGAATTAGCAAATCTAGTGATCCTTCATACAGATCAGTGCTTCTTAACCTTTCTTGTGTCTCGGAGACCTTTGTCAGTCTGGTGAAGCCTATGGATTTCTTCTCAAAATAATGTTTTCAAATGCATAAAAGTAAAATACATAGATTTATAAAGGAAACCAATTACAGTCATGGGCCGCATAATGATGTTTCGGTCAATGACAGACAGCATGTACAATGGTGGTCCCATAAGATTAGAACCATATAGACTAGGTGTGTAGTAGACTGTACCATTGAGATTTGTGTAAGTACACTCTGTGATGTTCGTACAATGACAAAATCGCTTAACAATGCATTTCTCAGAGCATATCTCCATCGTTAAGCAAGGCATGACTGTATAATAACGTCCAGCTCTATCTGGTGATGGTTAGACTGGGGTCCTGGGTTATTGAGAGGAAGACCACGGAGGTAAAGGGCCATTTTCATCACATCATATCAAGGCTACATACTCTCAACATGATTTATGACTGCTGATGTTAATCTTGATCACCTGGCTGAGGAAGTAGTTGCCAGGTTTCCCATTATAAGATTACTCTCTCCTCTTCCCACTTCCATACTGTGCTCTCTGAACGAAGCCACCATGCACAGCCCCCACTTAAGGAGCAGGGAGTTATGCTCCATTTCCTTGAGGGTGGAGAATCTCAAATTACTTGGAATTCTTTTGCATAGAAAATTTGTCTCTTCTCCCACATTTATTAATTTATTCAGTCTTCTATTTATATCAGTATGGACTCACGGATATTATTTTATACCTTGGGTTATAAGCCAATACTACTTTATCCTTTTTTTGTTCAAACTGACCCAGTTTTGGCCATTGGGAGCTCTTTCAGTTGCAGTTAGCTCCTGGGTCACTTTGAAATACCTCCATCAGTGTGTGTGAGTGTATGTGGGTTTTTTGTGTCTTTGTTTTACATGTACATAATCTTAAAACTTCAAATAATTGCCTCACAACCCCCAATATAAGAACACAACAATGGGGAAAGGTTAGTTTCTTCAATAAATGGTGTTGGGAAAACTGGATAGGCACATGCAGAATGAACTTGGACCCTTACCTCACACCATATACAAACATCAACTCAAAATGGATTAAAGACTTAAACATAAGACCTGGAAACATAAAACTATTAGAAGAAAACATAGGGAAAAAGCTTCTTGACTTTGGTCTTGGCAACAATTTTTTGGATACGACACCAAAAGCATAGGCAACAAAAGCAAAAATAGACAAGTGGGATTATATCAAACTAAAAAGCTTCTGCACAGCAAAGGAAACAATCAATAGAGTGAAAGGAATAGGAGAAACCTACAGAATTGGAGAAAATATGTACAAACCATATATATGATAAGGGGTTGATATCCAAAATAAATAAGGAACTTATATGACTCAATAACCCAACTGAAAGATGGGTAAAGGATCTGAATAGACATTTTTCCAAAGAAGACAAAACAAATGGCCAACAGGTATATGAAAAAGTGCTCAACATCACTCATCATCAGAGAAATGCAAATCAAAACCCCAATGAGATACCACATCACATCAGTTAGAATGGTTATTATCAAAAAGGCAAAAGATAAGTGTTGCTGAGGACATGGAGAAAAAAGATCCCTTGTACACTGTTGGTGGGAATGTAAATTGGTGCAGCCATTATGGAAACAGTATGGAATTTCCTCAAAAAATTAAAAATAGAACTACCATATGTTCCAGCAATTCCACTTCTGGGCATATATCCAAAGGAACTGAAAACGGGATCTTGAAGAGATATCTGCACCCTCACGTTCATTGCAGCATGATTCACAATAGCCAAGATATGGAAGCAAACAGGGACCATTTTAAATCTGAAAACCCATATCATTATAATGAATTTTCTTGTTATTGTTTCTTTACAATATCCTTCCTCTATTTCCTTAGTTCTTTTTTTTTCTGGAACTCTTGCAATTTTCTTTACACATATCCCTCATCCTTTTCTTTGCCATTTTGCTATTTTCTGGGAGATTTTCTTAACTTTATCTTTCAACTTGGTTATTTTTTAAGTTTCTACAGTTATATTTTTACTTTTCAACAGCTCTTTTTTGTTCTTTGATTCTCTTTTTTTGGCATTATGTTCTAATTTCTGGACTCAATAATACTCTTTTATTTCTCTAAGGTTATTACTTTTAGGATTTTGTTTTTTACGTTTTAATTTTCCCTCATGTTGATTTTTTTTCCAATTTCTTTTCTGTTGGTTGGTTTTGGTCTCTGTCTTTCCCAAAGGTCTGGTGACCTTTGCTGTCCATGCTCATTTAGGAGGGAGGCACCCAAAGCTGTTTGGAAGCTGTAAGAGGGTTGCTGACTGCTGGGGACAGAGCTGCTTTATGGGAGGAATCTGAATATCAGTATCTGGATGTCTTTCTTTTGAGCTGGTCAGTTTCTGCAGATGGAAATCCTCTAATCTGTTCCTAAGAGCTATAAGCATGGCTGCCTGAGAGTTGGGAGCTAAGCAGGAGAAGAGAGCTAGTGGTCCCACTGCTGAGAATATAGACTTTCTCTTAATCCTCCCTTTCAGAACAAGATGGCACCTCACTCTCCAATGTGAAGAAAGAGCAAGATAAATGGGTGCACTTCCTCTGCCGAGTCAACCAAAACGCCCTGACATAACTCGTGTTTCGTTGCTATGAATTTTTCAGCATCAATATGTTTAAAGTTTCTCTCTTGTCAACAGCATATAACTAGATTTTTAAAAATGCAATCTGACAATTGTAGAAAAGAGGAATTTTACTCACTTATGTGGATAAAAGATTTGGAGCTAATTCTGCCATCGTATATTTTCTATCTAACGCACGTTCTTGTTTTTCCTTTCCTACCT